GTTATAATTGGTTATTCTGTCATCGTTCTGTTCGTTCGTTCTGTTTTACGTGCGAGCTAAGTGGGATAGAGGACGTAGAGGGCGCCACAGTGAGAAGAATTCTTGTAACTTCGTTCAGGAGAATCGTTCGGCAAAAACCGAAAACGGATTGAGCTCAGCGTCGCAAGACGCGTGCCTGCAGCGGGGCCTGGCACCTTCATTTTAACCCTTTCGGACCTGAATTTTTCCCCGTGGAGAAATTTTTCTTCTAGCTATTGTTTATTACTTGTGAGCATATAGGTATCATTATGGCGAAATTTGGAAGCTATTCGATCACAAACAAAGAAACTAAGAAGCTTTGAAAATTGGCCCACCTTCTTAGTTTTTTAGCTTATGTCGAAACAATTCGAAATTTCATAGTTATGCCGAAAAAGTTTATAATCTTGCATAACATTATAACCCATAATTTTGATTTAGGAATGGATCTACTTCAAGTATTTTAAGAAAAGTCACACTTACTTGGCCGGTTGCGGGGGTCAGCGCCCATTCATTGTTGCACTTGTACACAAATACTTGTAATACTAACAGCAACACACAATGAAATGGCAGGTTAGCTCATAATTAGGAAGGGGAAGGTTGACTGAAGCAACCTCTAGCAGGATTAGAAAAACCATGCTGTTTCAGCGGCAATGCAAGCGTTTGAATTTGGTGGTGGCAATGCGCCGTTCACGTCTGCCCAAGGGCGCAAGGGTCACCAATGTCCGGACCGACAATTGACCCTATCCTTGCCATTGTAGTTCCTTACATTGTTTTCTCTTCTTAACTGCTTGCCTTCAATAGATCTTTTTCAAGAAAATACACCTAAGTACCCAAAGGACTGCAAAAAACATTGCGCAATCCAGTCTTCCTAACAGTTCATTTTTTTTTTACCGCCACAAATGAGGCAAAGATTGAAATTGAGAAAAATGGTTTAGTCAGCTCTTGCTAGCTTATATCTATCATCTTCTAGAGCCCAACATTCATCTTTTTCATCAAAATTATCGGAAGCTTGTTCATATCAAAGGAAGTGCATCCATTTATTATTATTTACTGGTTCATACCATCCAATACAAAATTTCGAGACTTACCTTTAGCTTGACATGTTTTCCCTATAGATATTAAACCTGGCCCATATTTTGCACACAAAGGTAACGTGAGCACAAGAGGGTAACAAAAGGGAAGGGGTTTGCAAATCCCGGAAATTTCTCTAACCCCATGCTCTCCACAGTTACGGCACCACATCACCGAGTCCTCCGCTAGAAACCACAGAATGCGACTGGATTCCTCTTGTTGTTCTCAAGCTCACCACGCAGTTTTACCCTGAGCTCGCCTGAAAGTCTCATCATTTGTTCGCTTCACGAACCAGGGTCAACCGTCCGTTGGACAAAGTCCAACGCATGGCTCTCTAGCGTGTGAGAGTAATGCCGAGAGTGTGAACGTACGCACGGAGACACAGACGGCTCGCGCAAGGCGAGTGCGAATGCCGGCGCGGAGAGCGGTCAACGTCGGTCCAACGTCGGTCCAATGTCGGTCCAACGTAACGGTTGACCCTGGCTCCTAACCGTCCATTTCGTCCGCTCAATCCCGGCTGCATAATGCATGCGCTCCTGGCTGGCTCGTCTTTTTGTCCCCCTTTTAGCTCTAACCACAGTAGTAGGATCTAAAGGGATCCAGCACCGAAAAACAGGCCTACATTTTGGGGTTTTTTGCGGTTTCCTTTCCTTTTTGTATTTATATACGGTACAGTTCGCACCCGTACTTCCATCTTCAAGCACCAAGCCTCATTTAGAGGTCAGTAGAACGTGAAAAACAACGCCTCCGTGTTCCCTGCCCAGAAAACACGCTGCCCCCCCAATTTAAATTAACCGACACTTTTCCTAGTTTATCTTTGCTTCCTACTGCTTCTGCGGGTGAGTTATGACAAAGCATGAACGGAGGTATCGTCTCGGCTTAGCTTAGGTCTCGTCCAAGCCGAGTGATCCTTCAAACCATCCGATGTCTAGCAGCGGTCATAAACTCCTATCTGGAAATTTGAAACTTTGTATATATAATATATTGGTCTCAGTACGTGTTAAATATATGTATTCGTACTCCGTGTATTCGTCCAAACATATTCCTGTGCATCTGATTCAAAATTCGGGTGTCCCCCAAGAGGCCCACCGCGCGGCGAAGGAAGAGACGCAGATGCGGCAAAGGGACGAGTCGCAGCGCGTGCTGTGCGATATGAGACGTAGTATGGTACACTCTATTTAACCTGACGCCTAACCGCTACAGTATGCGCTGCGACTCGTCCTTTGCCGCGTCTGCGTCTCTTCCTTCGCCGCGCGATGGGCCTCTTGGGACACCCTCGAATTCATGACAACCCCACCAAAAATTCTGATAAGCCGTAATATTTTTATCAAATTGATAATTTCATCATCAAGACCAGCCTAGAAATTTGCCACTCAAACAGTTCCATCCTGCAAAAGTCATATTCGGGCTTTGAAGTGTGGCTATTAAATTCGCAACCCCCAAATTCATCAATAACTAACCAAATATTCATCGAACCCCATGTTCGAAACCATAGAAAGATAGTAGTTCAAAAAATAAAAGAAGAGGGATGGAATGGGATTTTCTGGAAAGAAGGAAAAGATCAAAATAGTGAATGGGTAGCGGTGTGGAGTCTTTTTAGACTCCTCCTATCCAAGTTGAATTTCCTATATATTTTTCTTCAGCGCTTTCCTCATATTGATTTCTTTCAGCTTGATTTTTAAGGAATACATGTTTTTTCTTCGTTCCGTAAGAACCTTTTTTTTTCAGAATCGCGACAAAACTTCAGGACTTGAATCCTTCATGGAGCGGCGATCGTACTTTCCAAGAAACACGAAAAATTATTGGTGCAATCATTCAAAATATTTTATTTAAAGTAAGTTTTTGGATTGATTCCTTTCTGATTTCTATCATACATAGATGGCGTATCTAGCAGTCCTTTCCTCACCACTCTATTCAGGAATATCTTCCCAAAATGCTAGGCGTTGCTCATCCGAAAGTGATGGGTGAGTACAAGGGCTACGATAGCAATGTTGACGCTACCATTGCCAATGAGTTTACCACTTCTGCTTTCCGATTCGGCCATGGAATGATTGAGGTGGGTTCATTAATGTTGAGTGGACATTTTTCTTTTCCTGGACCATTATGATATTTAATAACACCTCATGTTATGTCAAATCTGTTTACCAATTCCTTTGTTGCTCTCAGCTTCTGCTTTATACACGGCGCGGAACGAAAGAACGAAAAACTTAAAGCAACAGTTCAGGGAGGGTCCGAAAATTTCAATGCCACTACTACTGAGGGATACACGAGCCCTAGTGAAGAACATATGCAGTGGAAATAATAAACGAACTTACCTCAGAAACTCAAAAACAGGGTGGAAAGTCCCTCAAACATGGGTGTTCTTGGGGATTTCCCCAATCCCGCCCCCTTGCCGGCCGTCATTGGACGCGTCGGCAATCGTGCTCGTTTTGGGACCACAGGGAAAATTGATTGAAAAATGGAGCGCGTTTACAGCGGGCACGTTCAGACAACTCGTCCAACGTGCGTCTTTATCCATTGCTGAGCGGCAGAGGGAGAGTACCTGTCTAAGACCCTCCCCGACGTTTTTTTCCAGTTTTTCATACATTAATCGTCTGGTTTTCATCTACAACTTCATTATTGGTGGTTTTTTCCCGCGAAACCGTTCCTGAACTGTTGCTTTGCTTTAAACCGGCACCGGATACGAAAGGTCTCAAAAGGGGTTTGGAGGGGCGTGATGGTCTAATCGTATACCAAAGCAAAACAAAATCCCGTGAAATAATAAGCCCCTTTGATTGTCCCTTTCATTTTAAACCATGGATTAGCGACGGTAAATAATGCGTTGTTCGGACGTGTTCCACCCCGATAGCCGCCATCATGCCAAAGAAGTAGTGTTTTCGATTGATAAGGCATTACATGGGCAAGTTGGGAGGTACAGCCGGTAAAAGGAAAACGATCTCTCAAAATGAAAAGCCAACAGCAGACAGCTCACCCAAGTCACCGTCGAACAAGTGGCGTAATGCTGCTGGAGGCGGAGTGCTTGCGGAGGTCCTGCTCAACAACCACAGCACTTTTCCCGTGGAAGTGCCACATTTAGCTCCCTTGGCAGCCAAGTAATTACTCCCTTTTCCCTCGAAGCGAAATTCCTTACCGTAATCGCTTCCTTTTAATCTACCTCATTCAATAAAATTATTGATTTTACGTGTAATTGAGCGATTTTTTCGGAACAACGGAAGTTGGTTTTAGGTTTCAATTATATTATATGCACTTTTTCAAATTCAGTTCGATGTATATCCTTGAGTGGCCTACGTGAGCTATTCGCGTCGCTCCACGCAATGTGTCTTGAAGTCCACCACGGATACTTTCAAGAGCACTACGACCTATTCGTCGGCAAGCCACTTTTGCAGCTTTGGATCTCACTACTTCAGTCGAGTCGCCATTCGCAAAGTTTTATCCTAATATTCTGCTCACCCTAGCAAACATGCTGTGGAAGAGATACCGCAACCTTCCCAATTCGGAATAAGGTCGTAGGACGACAGTGATGGTTTCCCACGCGAGCTCGCTCAGGTTTTTCAGTGTTCCATAACCAAAGAAGTTTTGTGAGCGCGGCGGTTTTCCTTATTTACGCCCACGCTGTGACAAGCGCTGTTTTTGAGGTATGAGGTTATGCTTATAGCGCTTGTAATCCATTATAGTACGTATACCATGCAAAGGTGTGAGTGTTGTGTAAACGTGACCATTGGCCCTCGTAGTGTAATGGTCCAGGCAGTTTCACGGAAATCAGTGTCCATATCTTGCTCGCTTGCGATTATACCCTGATGTTGAGTGTTTTCCGAAGCAGTAGTAGGAGATGTCTTCGAAGACTTATCCTTTTGATAGAAGATTATATCGCATCCCGATAAGAAAAGTCTATAAGGGATTTATGGGCTATTTGAAGCAGAGCTAGGAAATCGTCAGACTATGGTCTACTACATAGTATAATTTTCAACAAAATCGAGAAATAAGAAAGGCGGTTGAGAAGACCTTTTCCGATATGCGCCACGCATTCTACTCCTATTCGGAATCGTAGTGGCATTTTGAGTGCGATTTGCCTATACGGTAACCTACAGAGGTCAGCTGAAGGATAAGTGAGTGGGTGTCGGTTATTGGGTGTCCCCAAGAGGCCCATCGCGCGGCGAAGGAAGAGACGCAGATGCGGCAAAGGACGAGTCGCAGCGCGTGCTGTGCGATATGAGACGTAGTATGGTACACTCTGTCCAACACCTAACCGCTACAGTATGGGCTTCCTGAGGGACACCCAGTGTTACTGGGCCCTTAAGCAAATCCGGTTCTGACATTGATCAACAAGGATGGAAGCTTTGTTGACCCGAACGCCGTCCCATCCGAGATCAGATCTTCGGACAATGTGCGTATTAAGCAACAACACTGCCACTTCACCTCAATAATGCTGCTGATGTTTGTGAGAACATCCTTCTTGATGATCAAGACCTCGACACCTCCACGGGCTTGTGAATGGGTTATTGAGAAACTTTTTGAACTTGTTGAAAGATTGGCGTGTCGTTCTTGCAAGCTATGCTGTACACTTGAATCACCTTCAAACTCTTTTTCAATTTATAAGGAAAGCCGTACATGCGGCCCCATCTGCCAGTACTCGATCAAAATATTTTATACAACCAATGATAAATTCGGTGTTTTAAAAAATCGGACTACTGATATCCACATTACAGAAGTGTCTGTTCAGGAATTCTACAAGCGTTTGGATTTCTCCGGTGGCAACATCACCCACGGCGGTTTCTTCTTTGGTGAGGGTGTGTTCAAATCGAGCAAGATTCTATTCGAAGGTAAGATTGAATGGTTCCAATATGTCTCTCGCGATTTGATGACGTACATTGTTTTCACTGATAACGGAAGGTGATAGCGACGTTGGGAGTGGCTTGTTAGGTGGCTTTCATTGAATTAGTACCACCGGTACGAGCGCGGAGGTCATGGGCTACTGACCTTCACGCCGTTTGACCCTCGGTCACATCTTTACGGAAACTACTTGGCTGTCGCAAGCAATTTCGAATGGTGCATTATTACGGTCAGCTGAAGGCCTGACATTGGTAAGTAGCATTCTTGCCGCAGGTGCAAGGTCCGTGGGTCACGTTCTTGTGGGTCTGTGACATAGTACTACAAAGCATTAAAGGCAGTGATCACCTGAGCCCTAGGCTTGCTACAATATGCGATTATCAACCGATAAGACAATACTAGATAATGATGACGAACCAACCTCATGAAAGATAAGGCATCGAATTAGTAGTATCGGCAGCTTGGAACTAGGCTCATTGGAAAATACCGTATTCATAACCTGTACTCTCTCTTAGTGCACAGCCCCTTGCCTACTCGATAACGTGGTGTATGTGCTACCTCGGAAGTTAGTTTTTGGCGAATAATCACGCGCAGATAAGCCCAGCTATCCACTGATAACTCCTACATATTTCGTCTTACTTGCAAAGAATGATCACGAAATCCGATCAGTCTGATATAGAAACTATGTACTGGATTCTGATAGGGGTATTTGACCCCGTACTTTCCATATCACTCCGTTCGATTATCGTACCTACTTCATTCGAAACCCTTCCATTTTCACGCCCGCGTTATTTTTTTAGCCAGGCTGGTAAGAAAATCGTAAAACTGATATTCACCTACTAATCGCCGCAATTGATTATCCGGTTCGAACAGGTATTATAGAAGCGAAATATCGATTCAAATGAAACCAAAACTCAGAAAGGAATTGGTTCGCGCGGCGCATACTAAAAGCATATTTGAAGATTTTCAGCATCATAGGAGGCTTCAGAGCCTTTCCAACGGATTATGCAATATTCATCTCAGCGTAGTGCTGAAGACCCCCCTATTATTGAAACTTTAGTATAATTTCGATTAATGGTAGATAAATTTTAGGAGAAACTTTGTCCAAAAAATAGTTGAAGGAAAGAAGGGCAATGCGTAAGGCGCTTTAAGAAAAACGCTACACAGTTCTGTTGAGATTATACTCATGTCAGTTTCATTATGTCACTGTCTTAATTGCGTCTAAATTTTGCCTTCTAGAATTGCGGGTTAATGTCAAATGGCGCTAAATGTCAAAAGCAGAATTAATAATTCATAGTCAAGACTACAGGGGTGGCCAAAAAAAAGAGACACTTCACTCAACATTCAAAACGGAATTATTTACGCGTCGCGAAACCAAACCAAATGACCCCAACTGAATATTGAAGAGCACGTTATAATCTATCAACAAGCTACACAACAGCCTTCTACACCGACGACATCAGAAGATTTTCCCACGGAAGCATTGTGCACGGTACGAGCTCAACGAGGTCGTTCGAGATACCATAGACGATTACGACGTCTCTGAAACGCTGGTCAAAAGCGGTTTTGCACATTCACAGCTAATGTCTCTGGGAAGCTATTCAACAATTAATCACTGAGGAAATTGTGTAGCAGCTTCAGGTCGGAGCGATTTACGGTAAGCCTCGTTGAGCTCGACGGTGACGGCAGATGACGTCATATTCTGGAGACGGCAGGGCAGTGAAGGAGTGCTTGCTTCTGTTTACGGAGGAACAACTAAGGAATATAACGCCATAAAACTTTCATTAACATCGGCTCCCTGTGTGACGAAAAGTTCGATGATGTGCGCTCATGGGCTGAGTGTCTCTTTTTTTTTGGCCACCCTGTATATTGAGGCCAATAATTAGCCGCTAGCTTTGAATGCACAATTTTGACGCCCACGATAATCGAATCATTAGCAGTAGCTTTTTCTACCTGATCCTGCTAGATAGAACGGACGTCGTGCTGTGGTCCATACAGGCGTCTCTAGTGTGGGCAAGAAACCGTTTTGAAAAAGCACGGCTGGTCCTGAAAGCCCCCTCTCCCACTTGAAAGACAGCATGGTTTCCATGATCGACCACTGTATGGAATCCTTCGCTAGGGGGTGATTCGAATCCGCACTCCAACGAGGAGTTGCTTAACCCTTGCTCCATGTATATTCAAATTTGTTACGGACGGAGCTCATCTTTTCTTTCCGGATTACTCCGAAGCTATAGAAAACAATTTTCGCTGTTATCGAGGTACCATTAAATTGACTCTGGGAGTTTGCTCCAGTGTGAGCTAATTACAGTGGAAGGAAACATTTCTGAACATGTGGATAGCTCTTGGGTGCTTACCTTTTTTGCATTATTTAGGTTGTAGAGCGCTAAAACTGTAAATGTGATGTAAGCCAATAGAATTGTAAAATTTACCTCCTAATTTTCGAACAATTTTTTGTTCTCTGGTGAATGCATTTTTTATTATGGGTTCAACACTACCGTAATAACTTCGTATAGCATAAGGTTTTGATACTCTGAGAATCCCACGTCACCGCTTAAGGGACCGAAACCCTTTTATAAGACTCTGGGGATTCCTTGCGTTGATCACAAGACATTCAAGAAAACATTTTAACGCACATGCTCAACAGTACTCTTAATCGATCGAATTTGTTTCTCTCACAGACCTCACTCCAAACGTTGAATCAGACTCGCACAAAACTCGCGTGAGTATCGTGCGTGACAGAGGGTCCTCCGTCAGCTCGGATCGTGTCCATCTGCACTAACAGGGATCGCATAGCTGTGTTGGTTCAGCCCACCATACATGAATGCAATCCGTCTGAAGCGTCTCAGAGGCCTAGAAATCCAAGATTAATTTGGTGAGCCGTTATCCTCGCCTCCCTGCCAATTTTTGGAAAGGCCTTTAATGGGCCGAAATCCGCGAACAGCTGTGGCGTCACTAAGATTTTTAAAGCCACGAGTCAGGCTCAGTGGACCAAACCAATCACTTTAGTCGTCTATGTGCATGGCTACGCACCCACAGGGACGTTGCCATGCTCAGAATCTCAAAAGGCGCCGTAATAACGCCCCAGGGCATGCATTAAGCGCTCGCGCCGCCTGGAGGCGCTCCGGCCGCCCACCATGGGATGTGGTGCGTGGCTGGCCTAACGTGTGAGATCAGCTGAGTTGATTGCCGTATCAACCGATGGAACGGCTGGCATATCCAGAAAACTCGTTTGGACGTGACTCTCCCCCCGAAAAAATATCTCTCCCGCAAAAAAAATTTTCCTCCTTCACTGCTAGAAGGAATGGGTTTCTATTTAGGTGTTGTCGACAGTTTTTTTTTCGTTTTTTCTTCACTATCGTTCCACCTCCCATCTCTAAACTCAATATCAGGTGCCATAATGCCGAAACACGAGCCTGACTTTTGCCTTTAAGCTATTCCTGAAATCGCACTAATGTCACTAGATTTTAACCCTGATCCTAAATCGCACTAGAGAAAAAAATTCTATTTCCTCCTCATGCTGCGTTCCCCTCTGTTAGTTGTCAGGTCCTACTCATTTAGGCCTATTGAAACACTTGGAATGATTAAAGGAGGAATTCACGATAAGAACGAAGGTCAAAGAAGGGGAAAATTGCATAGTTGGGAGACAGGCGGACCTCCTGAGGGTGCTGACCGACGCGCAATTGGCAGCGAAAGATTTGACCTCGGCGATCTAGCATGGCTCACTCTTGGCGCGGTTGGCGGGGTACGCCCACCAACTATCTTATCACACCGCAGGTTTATACAGGGGTGGCCAAAAAAAAGAGACACTTTGCCCATGGCGCACATCATCGAACTTTTCGTCGCACAGGGAGCCGATGTTAATGAAAGTTTTAATATTCCTTAGGTGTTCCCCCGTAAAGCAGAAGCAGGCCCTCCTTCACTGCCCCCACCGTCTTCAGAATATGACGTCATCTGCCGTCACCGTCGAGCTCAACGAGGCTTACCGTAATCGCTCCGGCCTGAAGCTGCTACATAATTTCTTCAATGGATTAACTGGTGAATAGCTTCTAGAGACACTAGCTGTGACTGTGCAAGACCGCTTTTGACCAGCGTTTCAGGGACGTCGTAATGGTCTATGGTACCTCGACGACCTCGTTGAGCTCGTACCGTGAACCATGTTTCCGTGGGAAAATCTTCTGATGTCGTCGGTGTAGAAGGCTGTCATGTAACTTTAGATAGATTAGAATGTGCTCTTTAATACTAAGTTGGGGCAGTCGATTTGATTCTAGCAAAGTGTGATTAATGCTGTCTGAAATGTGGAGTGAAGTGTCTCTTTTTTTGGCCACCCCTGTATGTGGCGAGTGATTAGATAGCAGAGAGAGCGTAGTGTTGAAGAGGGCACAGCGATGAGAGTCGCATCAATGCGCAAATCAACGGGCAAGGAAGGGGTCCCATTTCTCGGGTTTCGGGCCGTTTCAAATGGTTTCTTCTTCATCCCTGCTCCACTGACCACCTCTACCCTTATTTCCAATGAGCTAAGGTTTCGTCGTAAATTTTGCCTTTAAAGTGATGGTACTTACATAGGCCCATCCAGTACAGCATCTGATACCGTAATCAAGTCCCACTTTGGTTTTTTTTCACTGTTGCGATTTCTCGGGTGCCATTGACAGAATCCAAGAATTGCCCTGTGAAGGAGCCCTGCCCCGCTTTTCAATGGAGCGCTATGCATTGCACAGTTGAAACCAAACACGCCTTCCCATCAGCTGCGGTCTTGAAAGCTTGCGCCGTGCTAACCACCAATCCGAGCACTTGCTTTATCCGTCTTTTGGAAATTCTTTGATAAATTTTCTGGAGCGTTGTGGCTCTTGAAAGCTATTGATATAGTCACCAGGCTTGAACCTTCACACGTATTGAAATTCTTGAGATCTGGAATCGGTCTATTAGAGAAAGATTCCATGACAAGGTCGAAGATAGAGGAATGTGCCTAGTAGAAAGGGGGGGGGGAACGAAGTTCTTAGAAAGACGATGCGCGTTCCTCAGGGAAGAACACCATAGCGGTTCAACGCAGCCGTACCCACACCGCTGGCA